CCTTAATGATTCTGTGATTCTATGAAAACTAGCACTGCTACCCTGTTAGCATGGTGTACCAAGCCTACTGTTCAGCACATCCCTTGCAAGCTGCAAGTGAAAGAATTTTGAAGAGGGTGAAGCGGGCAGCTGAGGCAGGGCTGCTGGCAATCCACCTGCCCCACACGTTGTGGTCGGTGGGGCCTTTGTGTGTGTATTGGTCCCAGTCTGTGTGGTGGAGATAATCCCTGTGCTCTCCGAGGCTTTCTCTGCTCTGACCTTGGCGCCTGCTTGCTTACATTTGTATGCTGCTTGGCATTAAGGGGTGCCAGCTGTGGTTGGGGCTGTCATGACAGGACATCCTAGAAAATAGCTGTTCTCTTTCCACTTTCTCCTTTACTGGATATAGGAGGAAGGTTGTGGGTGAAAAAAAAATATGTGGGTTGTTTTTTTTTTTAACCCAATCCCTATTTTGGAGGGGTACAAAATAGCACAAATTTGATTTCCCATTAGAATAAAGCTGTGAATAGTTTTGGCTGGACAGGGAATGCTCCATTTTGCTAAAACTGTGTTCTTGTGATCTTTAAATAGCCATGAAATAATAATATGTTTCTGCTTTTCAGTTAGGGCAACTTTCATAAAAAAAGTTTTGCCGGAGAGGAGGGAAGTGGCTGTTTTATTAAATATACTGTACCTGAGACTGAATCGTCTTTTGTTTTTGTTTTGCATTACCTTTAGTTTTTTCCATTTCCATTTTATGTGGCAAAACAAAGGTTTCTAAAAATAATAAAAATTAGAGTAGTAGCTCTGATTTTTGTGGTAATGTGTGAAAACTCTAAAGTCAATAGTGTTTTGACTTCTGTGCATGTCATCACACATTTGGAGTTTATCGGCACCAAAGATTGTTAGCTGCATCAGTAGGAGACATGCTCATTAAGTAATTACATTCATCATTTCTCAGCAAAACAATCATTGCCAGTGGCAATGGAAAATCATGAGAATATGAGATTTTGTATCAGCATGTTGTTAGCATGCCTTCTTTAGCACAATGATATGTTAGGATTTTTTTTTTTGTACCTTTTTTTTTTAACCTCTGCTGAACTGAAATTTTTTGTTAAAGAGTTTTTGTTTTAGTTCCCCTGTGGGACGTGCATCTCCGAGCAAGACTATGGAAAAATGAGGGTTGAGGTGCCCTTTCTGTTCATGTTTACATGTGGTACATCAGCTCTGTACAGAATACATCAGACTTCAAAATAAAGTCCCTGAAAACTGATGCAAAAATACCGCCCATTTAACGCTCCTCAATCCCACAGAATATTCTAGTTCCTGTTACCCCCCAAGTAATCCAAGGAGCCACAGTTTAACACCTTTACTCTGATACTGAATGCATGTAGGCTATGTATTGTGCATTCACATATGTGTATAGCTTTGTGTTGCTGCTGCGTTTGTCTTTGCCTTAAGGCATAATTTTATTTGCAAAGACCCGTCGTCTATTCGTTTATGGTAGTCGTTACGGTATCCGGCGCTGTAAGATGAGTGATGTCATCCTTCTTATTTAAATCATCTCACCGAAATAGAGGCCAGCTGATGGGCGGAGAAGCAGGGATTAGTGGTGTCGCTCGAAAATGGCGCAAACAGCAGCCGAAATAGCTCAGTTGGGAGAGCGTTAGACTGAAGATCTAAAGGTCCCTGGTTCGATCCCGGGTTTCGGCAGCTGATCTTTTTCCTGCCGGGTTCTGCTAACCCGCAAAGCCCCGCACGCCGGGTGAACGCACCGCACCCTCCCAAGCCGTGCTCCCCCTTGCTTTAATAGCCTAGGCACGCAGCAGCACAGGCGGAGGCAGCCGCGCAGGTGAAGGAAGGGGCACCCACTGGAATGGGATCAGGTCGCTCTCGCAGGGGTGGGGTATGCAAGCGCCTGTTTTAAATAAAGCACAAGGACAGTAAGTCTGCTTTCTTGCACCCACCCGTGTTTAATAACGTAAAACTGTGCGACTGAAACATGCTACGGTTTTACCCGAGATAGAATCTTCCCCGATGTAAAATTCAGGTGGAAGGGTGTGCCTGCGTGCACCGGAGAGCACAGCTTAAAACCAGTATTTGAAATAAATGAGCATATTCAAACAAAAGTAGCAACAAGCTTTTGATGATTCACTTCATTCGACTTTGACTTAAGACCACCTAAACCTGTACATCGCAAGACTGAATTTGGTCTCGAGGTACTAATTTGCCGAGTACTGCCAGTAACCTTGACCACGCAGTTCCAAAGTTGAAAGTGTTTTTTAAAGATGTAAACGTTTTAGAGTGCTTTTAACACAACCTATGGTCTTAATCATGCCTAAGGAGAAGGCAGCTTGATTTTAAAAATGAGAACTTGCCCACGTTGACTCAAACTAAGATGCATTAACCAAAAGGTAGGAAAAGTACAGATTGAGGTAAGGGCAAGGGGAGTTGGGAGTTCTACTTCTGGGCAATGGCTTGAAGAAGGATCCTAACAGTACTTTAGGGATTTTTATTACAGTACGTTCTAGTGGGGTAATTGAGAAGTACACACTCGCTTACGTCATACGGAGGGGAACCCGAGGACAGGGCGACCTGGGAGTCGCCACACCCAGCACCCAGGCTTAGGGGCTGCAGGCTCCTGCGCTCTAAGCACGCCGCCTTTGTACGTGCCGCTCAGGGCTCCAGTGGCGGTTCTCTCAATGTATAAAAAACAAATTGCAAGAGAATGCATTATCCCTTCTCACAAGTTTTAATGAAAAATAAAGAACAGTCCAGTTAAACACCTGTTACATTCCTATGATTTAGGTACTTGTGAATGTCCCTTTGATAATGTGAATAAGGAGTCCAAGTGCATATTAAAACTCATTATAGAGCACAGAGTAATTCAAAGTGTAATTAAAATATATTCAGATAATTACCAGAGCCAGAATACACATCTGTATCCCAATTTACACTTAAACTTTTTCCTTAATTCCAAATCATCTTGGTTTTTATTGGAGCGGAGCACAATTGCATTCTAATAAAAAAAAAAAACCCTGATCATTGGGCTTTCCTCATTCAATAGTTATCAATAACACTGCAAGTCTGACAAAGGCAATGTGCAATATGCTACACCTTTAGCAAAAGCTGAGGGAGGGAAATACACATGATTAAATCTGATATTTAAATCAGGTCAAAAAAGACCATTAAAAGTGTTCTTAAAATCGTGGCCTCAAACAATAAAAGAGCCTTCAAAACAGTTTCACTTTTAAACGGAAAAGTGACTGTTTCTTAAGCAAACATTGGATTCCTTTCCCACCAAATTTTACAGTTGTCCTATCAACAAAAATAATAAAGGCTTTGTTACTGCATCACTAAGTACCAATTTTATTTCCCACACTGACACATGTAAAGCAAGAATAGTCAACCCACTGGAAGTGTTTTCAGACGGGGAAACCTGCGTACATTCAGCAGCATTAAGGCCATCAGGCAGTATGCGGCTATGTAATTTACCGGTACATGTGTTTCTGAGGGCAATAGCCTTTCCTTCATCATATATTTGGCCAAAAAAAAAATCATACAAAACTTAGTGTTATATCAAGGAGCTCTGCAAAACACTTGCAGTCTTTGAAGTTCCACGTTAAATGCACTAAGCGGGTGAGGACTGAGGTGGTCGCACGCCCGCAGCGTGCTGACGCAGTTCGCATCGTCTTTTACAGGCAGCAAGACCAAGGGAAGCTGTGTGCCGCTCCAGTACGCAGAATTGAGAGCAAGGACTGAAGGGACAACTGTACCTGACAGCAGTACAGCATTATAGCGACCACAGCTTTTGAAGATATACACACAGATTTTACAAAGTAAGAATTACACATTTTATACAAATAACCACTTCTCCATTATATACACTCAGTGCCAGTATAACTTGAGAAAGTTTGTACCACTGTTCAGACGCCGACTGCAGATGCTAGTTTGGTCTTGCACTTTTTTCTTTCTATAATTTCTTCGTCAAATATTTCTCTCTCCCTGAAAAGAAACATATTGAAGTTCTGTAGTAAAAATAATCTTAACATATTAAACAGTTTGCAATGTGTTACAGAAGCTCAGCAAGAATACTTCCCATGTTTAATCATTTTGCTCTTTAGACAATGAGAAAGCTTGCCTTCGAAGCGAGGACGCTGAACTCTCCTGCCCTTCTACTCAACACTTTTCTGTATAAACAGTAAACTAGTAAGAAAAATTGATAAAATCAGAGATACCTTTTGCTCACAGATGGTCCTTTTATGTATTTCTCTTCTGCCTTCTTGTAGTCTATGTCATCCACAGCAGAAATCGCATAAATGATGGCCTATAAAAGTATTTTGTTCATTTATACTTGTGAAACAAAAGCTAAACTACAACCAGTGATTTGAAACTGTCTCAGCAGGTAAGCACATTTTTAGAATAATGTTCCTCAATCACTTAGGAAACTTGGATGAAACTGCTCATTGTGTACCTGAGGTTCTTAAATAATACAAACTTGTCTTTTAACATTCCCAGGAGAGCATTTTTATAGCCAGGTTAAGATATTCTTCACAGTAATTTTGTTTCTACAGAAGTTACTAATGCTCCTAGGAAGAACAGTAAGTATCTAAAAGTATAACTAAAAACAAACCACCCACCCCCCACCACACAAAGAACCCAGGAAAACCCAGAGATGACTTGCCAAATTAAAAAAAAAAAAACAAAGCCAAACCAAAGCTTTGAAGGGTTTCAGAAGTAATCAAAACACAACAGAAAGCAATCATTCTGCCTTTAAAAAAGGTCATACTACCTAGAGCTTCTCCATTTTGTGCTAACAGCTTAAGAAAACCAGCCTTTAGAATGACGTTGGTTCACATCTCACCCCTAACGCTGCCAGCCTACTAATGCCAACATCTGCTGCACCCGCAGGAAGCATGCGGCGATTAATACTGCCGCTCTATGTACTTATTTTCTCCGACATGTAATGTAAACATGTTTGTTCTCTGATTACCAGCCCATGAACATGGCTTAAGAGCCTCCTGCACCGATTTTAATATTCTTTGCTCAAGATATACATAGAAACGACGATTCTAGGATTCTATGAAACTGAGCAGTTTTACGCCCTTCGAGCGGAAGGGACCCTGACCCAGTCGGTAGGTAGGCGGGCTTGAACGTATCTGCGCAGCTCGGGCATCGCCCAGCTCCCGGGGAACCCTCCGCAAGTCAGTAAACTCGAATCATGTAACGCTAGTGTTATTTACTTACTTCAATGTTTACTTTTCTCAGTGTTTCATGTTTACTTACTTCAGGCAAAAGGACATCTGAAATAAATTTTATTCCATCTCCATTTATCTGATGCAGATTTTTAGTGTCTATTTCACGATACACTTCCTTCAAGTAGTTTACTACAAGGTCTAGCTGTTCTTCATCCTCTAAATACGTTTCAACGCAGGTGACGTACTGACTCGAATTCAGGAATTCCTTCAGCCACCGGGACTGTTTTCTGCTTTTCAAAATAGCCAAAAGATGCTCTTCAGCCCCCTTAGTCTTCACTATAAACTCCACTATCTTTTTATTTGCTTTATCTCTTGCAGCTCTTGTTCTGTCAGGAAGAAGTTTCTTGGAGGGCTTCTGAGGTGAAGTTTCTGATGGAGACTCTTCAGGATCCTCCTCTGCCGTGTTTAGAAAGGTCATTTGGACTAAACCTTGATAACCTTCCTTTCTAACTGGGTAGCCTGAGAAAAGCCACAAATCATTCTTACTTAAATATACAAAACAAAGGGCTTTCTTGCATGTATACTTACATATACAAATATAAAATAAGGCACTTTCTTGATAAGAGAGGGGTTCTTCTTTCTCCTCTACCAGAGAGGATAAAAACCAACCAACAAAATCTTAACTTTGCCTTAAAAAAAGAAAGATTAGGCAGCTGAAACTCTGACAGGAGCTCTGAAATGAACTCTCTGCAGTGTGAAAAAAACAGTTACCCAATTGCCTTTAACAATCAGTATTTGACTCTTGATATGGGACTGAAAAACCTTAACATGCAATAATGGCGTGTAATAATTTTATTAGTCCTTCCTCACTGGGTCTGATGCCTAACTCAACACATGTTTGTAAACGTTAGAGCTAAACTTACCTACTAAGAGAAGGATACAAAGGATCATGAATTCACTTACTGATATCAGCAGCAAAATATTCCAAGAAGGATCCCGTAAAAGAATGACAACCTAAAAAACCCCAAACAGGGAAATTTATCAGTTCAGTTAAGCCTATGAAACAAAGTTGACAGTTTTGGTGTTATCTTTTTTCTGATGTATATCAGAATGGATGACGTCATCCAACTCATCTGCTTACCTACTCTAATTCGATAGTCAGAAATCAGTCGAATACACCACTCAATTTCTTGGCGGTAATCTTCTTTGGCTCGTTCCTACAAAACGAGAGCCATTTACAGTCCTAAAAAGAGCACCCTACGAAGCTTTTAGGTCTAGGACACTAACCAGGTAACAGAGATGGCTAACGATAATGAATCAAAGTTTGCTTGCGGTTTTCTGCGTTCTCCTGAAATTTAACTTCTGCATCACTTTGTCATGCAGTGTGAGAGGGGCTTTGTTGTAGGTAGTGAAAGTGAAAGTACAGCAAGAGTCCTAAGCAACTGCCTGCCTTCCACATACACAGGTATTCTTAGCAGCAGCCTCACTGAGATGGAAAAAGGCATTGGGGGGATCCCATTCCCACATTATTCTCCATTTTGTGGAGCACAAATTATGTTTAGTTACTTTGTTGAACAGAATGAGAGAGAACAGAGAACCGTGAACAAAGCCAGACCAGTCAGCTGCACCACACTCCTCCCACAGGGTCTGTTATACATTGTGTATACAACTTTATTTTTCCCCACACACACATACGCGTTACCGGTAGTACTCACTATGAGGTCCTGCTTTTCTTCACAATCAAAGTGCTTCAGATTCTTAAGAGATACTGAGAAACTTGATGAAACAAAGACAGACAGTTAGGGAAAAGGCAGTTGACTTGCACCTCTGTTTATTTACTGCAATTCTACACCTCCCTGAAAATTAGGAATTCAGGAACACAGGTTTTACTAGTTTTGGTTTTCATAATAAGCAAAAACTACAGAATCTTTTAACAAATGAGAAGTACCTGGTTTTAAAATAAAACGCCTTTTAAATAAAGGCAGGCCTGTGTTTCCAGAAAGTTTGGGCACCACATGCAAAAAAAACACTGGCTGGGCCCCCTGCCCTTTTTTTATTCCTCACATAAGCATCGGCTGTTCGCACGGACACCAGGCCGTCTGAACTGGCAGCGTGACAAAGCACATAGCCCACACCTGCAAATCCTCACCTTACTTGGTCCCTCCCTCCGAGATCAACCTCAGTTTTAACTGAGACTGTTAACCACCCTGTATGAGGAAAAGAGTACAGGACGCTGCCTAAAAGAAATCCAAAGTTCAGAACGTGAATCAGCATCCACAACATTTACCCTTTTTTTTTGTCATTTGTGTTCCCTTCTATTAACAGCACACATGCCTTTCTGTGTTTCCGCTTCACATTTTTTACCTGTTGAAAGGATAAAGTCTCATTAGCATCCTAAAATCCTAATACCCTTCACGTTTTCCATCAATATTATATAGCATACCCCACACTTAAAGGAAGTTACACAAATAGGAAAAATTAAGTATAAAGTGGCAAGAATAGCAAGTTACCCCAATGAAGTGGGGTTTTTTTAGTGCACAAGGACCCTTCCCGTTTCATTAGTTGGGCACAACACCCCTAATTCACAACACAAGATATAAAGGCTCAGTAGTAACTCTCTGGTCCAATAAAAACATATGTGAATCAACCACACGTATTTTTAGTGTGCTTTTGTCATATGTAAATTTACTTCTATTATCTTTGGAACACTTCTACTGGAAGATCTTTAACATTTCCAGCTCTACACAAGTCAAGAAAGGCAAAAGATGCTCAAGAAGTTGGTAAGCTGCTCCTTCTCAGACCCCTTGCAATGTCACTCTCAGAAGGCAGCGAGCTGTTCTTACCACTGCTGGCCAATAAGGATACCTTCGCAATTTGCACCAGACCAAAATCCCTTCTTCAATTGACTGTGGTTCTACGATGAAAAAGAAAGTAATTTTTCTTAACTAAAAAAAGAGACAAGACAGTTAGCTCACCCTCTCTTATCAGCCTCCTTTCAGGAGTTTCACTTCAGTGCTTTCACAGGTTTCAACTACGGTGACAGGGCATCTCCCACACCCCCCAAAACGCAGCACAGGTAGTTCTGACTGCAGGATCTGGGACTAGGCCCTTGCCCAGTTTCACAATGGTTTGCATTCCATTCTGTTTCAAAAAGCCTTTCTAGGGCATCCAAAGAAATACATTTTATTCCAAGCTTGAACACAAAGCTGGATTCACTTTCTAGAAAGGTTAGGTTTCATTCAGCAAACCAGAAGCACACATACACTAAAAGAGCACACTGGTCTTGCAAAGAAGTCTCACAGAGGTACAATGATCTCTCACCTTGATGTGACAAAATACTAGGAAGTTCTTCATCCTCTTCCTCTTCATCTACCAGAGGTGAGAGGCGAGAGAGACTCTCTGAGGAAACCATATTTGAAGACAGGTCAGACGATTCCAGCCCTGCCAACAGCAGCAAGCACCAGTGTTCATAAGCACGGAACAGCGGTTAAAAAAGTACCAGCTTCAGACCAGGTGAAACACAGAACTGTGGAAGTGACGCCGCAGCAGCGTGAGTCACCGGAACACAAGGGTCTGTCACACCATACACACTCTCAATCCACTGCCTAAGTAAAGGCCTAAATCTGAATGGAAGATGAAAAAGGGAAAGGAGCAAGAACAGGCAGGTTTCAGGACTCTGTACCAGCCTGTTCCTTTACATAACATCATTCCATCTCAACACTGACCTGCACACTAACTAGGTAGCAGTACAGAGAAAAAATACACGTGAAGTTAGCAAGTCATCTAATGAAGGGTAAGAATTACTGCTCTGCACAGTTTTTCAATGCAAAGCTGAACAACCCCAGACAACCTAAATGCGACACTAGCTTTTAGCCAGTATTAGAGCGGCTGCATTTTTCTGCTTCTCCAAGGCTTTGAACAAAATTAAAATCAGAAATTTAAGAACCTCATTCACAAAAGCACTGCAGCATTCCAAGATGAGTAACAGTGCTTGACAATCAAATGGGATGAAGTTTTCCCTTCCCCAAGCAATATGCCCACCTTCATCTTCCTCAAAGTCAGGCAGTTGAAACTGCTTTACTTTATTCGTAACCACATGTGAAGTATTCTTATTTTCCTCCTCTTTACACTGAGAGGGGAAGCTATCAGAAAGCATCCCATGGTTAGAAAGCCCAGAGGCAGATTCAGGGCGATTCCTGCATTTCCTTTTTCTGTACGAGGACGCAGTTGCACCCGTCTCTTGTTCTCCATTAATCTGTTTTAAACTCACTGGCTTTTTTCTTCCATCTAATTGCTTTGCTAGACTTTCGCTCTTACTACTGATGCTTTTTTCCAAATCATCCAAGGTGCTTTTGCAGGAGGAATCCAGTAACGTCCTTCTAGGCTGACTTCCGGTGTTTGCCCTTCTGACAGGTGCCGCTGTGTCAGACTCGCAGGGGGCAGGCACAGGAGACCCCTCCTCAACACAGGGCTGTGCTTG